AGAGTGAGACTCCAACTCAAAAAAAAAAAAAAAAATCGACCTTTCATACAACCCAGCAATCCTTCTTCTGGGAATATACCTATAGGAACTCAAATCAGTCTATGAAAAAGATACCTGCACACACATATTTATTGAGGCATTATTCACAATAGCAAACACATGGAACCAACCATGCTGCCCATTGAAAGTAGACTGGATTTAAAAAAATGTGGAACATATGCACTGTGGAATATTACACAGGCATAAAGAAGGACAAAATAATGAACTTCACAGTAACTTAGATGAATTTAGAGTCTGTAATACTCAGTGATCTATCACAGAAACAAAGAACCGAGTATCACACAGTCTCGTGCATAAGTGGACCCTGAACAATTATCATAATACTACAAGAAAGGGATTGGTAGTAGTGGGTATCCTCCAAGGGAGGGAGGGCACACTTCATTAATAAGCATACCTGATCTCAAACCAAGTGAAGTGGGGACCAAAGTGAGACCCAAACTTCACCTGTACAGTGACTATTTGTATACCTAACCCTGAATTGTAGCCCACATCTTTAAAATAAAAATTAAAAATAAAATAAAACCGTTTCTCACTAAAGGGGTTTCTAACTTTTCTTTTTCCTGATAAGTGGTTAGCTTTGGGGCATTAGCTTCATAAGGGATTGATATCTTACCTTTTCTCTTCATCCTGGTCTTCTGAACTCACTCAGAGCCTCCGTGTTGGCTCTTTCTTAAACAGTGATGCTCTTCCCTAAATCCACTCTGCCGCCATCCACTGTCTATACCCCCTCAGCCTGCTTTGTTTCTTCTTAGCACTGCTCAATTTCTTATACCTCATTACACACACACACACACACACACACACACACACACACACACACACAGCCAAAAAATGTATACACATTTTAAGAAAGAAAAAAAAGCCGGGCATGGTGGCTCATGCCTATAATTCCAGCACTTTGGGAGGCGGAGGCAAGAGGATTGCCTGAGCTCAGAGATTTGAAACCAGGCTGAACAACATGGCAAGACTTCATCTCTACAATAAATAAAGAAATATCCTGGCTTGGTGGCACACACCTGTGGTTCCAGTTACTTGGAAGGCTGAGGCGGAAGGATCACCTAAGCCCAGCTGGTCGAGGCTGCCGTGGCCCTGAGCATGCCACTGCACTCCAGCTTGGGCAACAGAGTGAGACTCTGACTCAAAAAAAAGAAAAAAGAAAAAGAAAGGAAAAAACTGTATTAAAATTGTAATACTCAATATATATTGGTAACAAAAGATGAATACAAGTCACATTTGATTTGCAATGGCAAGACGTACTCAAAGTGGTCCAGACACTTCTGATTATCATGAACTTAAAATAATACATAGACAATATCTCTTAAAATGTGTATACATTTTTTGGCACTTCCAAGATATATAGTATATATATGTATGTATGTTTGCTTGTC